GGGGGGGGGGGGGGGGGGGGGGGGCACTAGAACCTGGGGTGACAGAAGGGAGAAATCAGAAAGTAGGTGGTAGTATCAAGATGGGTTGGAAATGTAACTGGGTGTGGAATAGAATGTGATTTTTACTGAGATTGGTAGGGCAAGGAGATTGAGAGTAGGAGACATGGGTAGTTAGATCTGTGAATCTAGAAGAGGGGTCAGCAGTTATTTGAGCCCACGGTTTACATAGGGAGTTTTGGGGAGCTGTTCCAGACTGGGTCAGCAAGGCCCCCTTTCCCACCCCTGCAGCAGCTCACCAAATCTCCCTGTGTGGGAGGGGGCTGTGGGTGGGTGGGCAGAGAGCTAGCAGCAGGTTCAGCAGGGGTAGCTCAGCTGGGGACCCAGCAGTGCCTCCAGGCCACCATTCTACCCCGAGGAGGAGCTTGGGCAGATGCCCCCATCCCCAGCAGGAACCAGCTGGCTGCATCCACAGGTGATGCTGATGCCCACCCCGCATTGCTTCCGGCGCTCAGGCTGGGAGCTGGTGTAAGCTGTAGCGATGTGCTGTAGGTGTGGAATGATTGGGGTGAGGTGAGGAGAGAGCTCTGCCCATGATGAGTGGTGGTGGCCAGTACTGGGCTCCAGGAAAAAGCTGGACCTGGCAGTGGACATGCTTGCTGCTTCCACAGCCCTTCTGGCTGTGGCCACCTGGAGCCTGTGCCAAAACTGCCCTGCAGCTCTTCCCTGCCACCACCACCAGTGCCACCTCCAGGCTGTTCTGGGCCTGCCAGACAGCAACAGTAGGGAGAAGCCATAGGGAGACCCTGGTGTTGGGCTCCAGGCCAGAAGGGCCATGGCAGCGGCAAGCATGTCTACTCCTGGCACCCAGCACCAGCCACTGCTGTTCATTGTGGGTAGGGCTGCCTCTCTCTCTCCCTTCCCCTTTTCCCTCCCCTCCTTCCCCGCACATCCCCACAACTTACACCAGCTCCTGGGCCATGCACCAGAAGCAGCACAGGGCAAGCGCTGGCATCAGCTGTGAACAAAGTCAACAGGTTCTCGCTGGGGATAGGGGTGTCCACGCAAGTCTGCAAGTGACATTGTCACATCAGCTTATCAGCTGCAGTCCTGGGTAGTCACCTTATGCACAGCAGGAACTTACTTGCAGTGTGATATAGTGACAGTATTAGGACAGATTCAAACAGATTGAAATGGCTAGAGGTGTTACACTTGATAAATGAATGGGAGTAAGAGCCCAGCAAATCATACTCCATTTCAGGCTCGGGAATGGAACTGAGGATTTAGGAGTCTCACCATTCCTGAAATGTCCTGTTTCCTTTTGATTCTGGTCTGCATTGTCTAGCAGTTCCCAAACTAGGGGTCATGGTTCAAAATTGGTTCCCAGTGCTTAAGAATAGGATCTCATGCTACACATATTGTTACCTGGATGGGCTTAAACTAGAAATAGGTTCATAGCCCAAAAAGATTGGGCCGTGATCACAACAGGTTATTACTGCTTTCATTTACTTAGTTTAAGTGGCAAAGGACTGTGTGGTGTAGGAGCTGGCAAACTATAGCTCGTGGGCCATATTCAGCCTGTGGAGCCTTTAGATCCAGCTTGTGGAGCTGTGGTTTCATTTCTTCAGCATTTGGCAGCAGGGGACTCTGCCCATGCTGTGCCACAGTTGGGCACCCAGGGCTTTGGCAAAGGGGGAGCCCACCCTCTGCTGCATTGTACCTGCTTGGCAGAAAGAAGCTGAGGTAGCCAGGTCCCTAGTCCCGATGCATCTCAGAGCTGGGCTGTGTTATGCTGGACTCCTCCATAAAATATTGCAGGCCTTACTGTATTCTGTGCAACCTAGATGATAAACCATATGTACATCAGTATGATGCCACCTGATGGAATTCATGTTTTACAGAAATTTGTTTTACAGTTTTTGAAAAAATACAGAAATTACACAGGTTGCGTGCACATTTACCCTAAAAGCACATTATTAAGGTTGCAGTGTCAAACACTCAGAAGTTATGAAATGTTAGAATTAAGGTTACATGTGCAATTGTAATAGTTTTTAATTATATAGTAATAGACTTTTTTCCACAGGCCCCCTGCTATATTCCATCCATAAAATGGAGAGTGATTACCTAACAACCACATAATCTTGCTTTCTTCTTACTAAGTGTATAGCCACAGATCTCATTTACTGACTGCTTTTCAAACCCTGCACTGAAGAAATAATTGTTCATTTTCCTCATTGCCTCTTCTGTGGTATTCATTGCTTTCCTTGACACTCCTGTGAGATGGATGGGTATTAAACCCATGTTGCAGATGGTGAACATAAACAGAGAGATTAATACAAAAAGTATGTAGCTAATTTTCAAATTCCAGATTGAGGTACCTGAGGCCTGATTTTTTTATATCTTACTTACCATTTCATAGCATTTATAGGACCTAAGTGCAGTTTCTGTTGACTTCAGTAGCAGCTACAAGCACAAAATAATTATTTTCTTTTATTTTATTTATTTATTTGATTTTTACACTGCCCTTCCCAAAAAAAGGCTGAGGGTAGCTGTAGTAAAATAAGATGAGTCCTAAAATGAGAGAAAATGTTAAAACAAAATAATGGATTAGTTCCCCAAGCAGTACTCCAAAACCTAATCCCACTGCAAAAGGCTGCCCAAAAAATAAGGTCTTTCAACATTTCTAAAAGATGTCCAGGTTTGGACGGAGTTCCAAAGCTGAGGAGCAGCTGCCGAGAATGAGCTGCTTCATAGTTTCACTGAACTAGTTTGGTGTACAAAGAGAACTTGCAAGAGATTGCTGTTGGCTAGCCTTAGGGACTGCAGTGCAACTTTGATATGTAGGGTTCGGACCATTACAGACTAAAGGCATTGAGTCAGGCATCCAGAAGATCAGAAACCTGCAATTAATGACATCTGTGAAAAGTTTGGGTAAAGTGACTTGCCCACTGTCATCTGGGAACTCTCTGGGCAGAGTCAAAGAGAGAATTTATTTCATCTTGCTTAACCACAAGGTCATCCTTTCTCTTTCCCCTGCAGCTGCCTGCCTCATTCACTACACACCCTCCAACTTCTCCAGAAAATAAAGCAGGTGGTACATATATCTGTCTCCTTTACTACACAGACCTGTGCGTAGAATAAGGTGGGGTTCTACAGGAAACAGTATGTGATCGTGTAATTAAGAGTGAATTGCAAGACATGAATGCAAGAATGCCAAGTTAAGGTCATGCAGTGAACCTTATTTCTAGCATTTCTGAACTATTGAGTTACTTGACTTTGCAACCTTAATCTTTAAAGTTGGATTTTTGTGTATAGCCTGCATATGTGATCAGTATTGTAACAAAAAAAGATGTTGGGTAGTAGATTTTGTGACTGATGTAGTCCACCTCCATGGCAGTTTGGCAAGACTTTGTTACTAAGAATTCAGATACACACATATCAATAAATTTAAAAGTTAACGTTCTCACAGCAACAATTTGCGTTAGTCATTGACTAATACATAGGAAAAGTAGGTCTGGAAGGCACCTCACAAGGTCATGTAGTCCAGCCACTGCTCAAGGCAGGACCATCCCTGACTAAACCGTCGTAACCAAGTAAAACCCGCATTATCCGGCACTTTACAAGCCGGCATGCCCTATTAACCGGCATGCCAGCTTGT